ACAGGCGCCCGCCACAACACCTGGCCATTTTTTGGTTGGCAGCCATCGTTGTTTGGCAGGCTGGGGCTGGATTGGAACCTGCCACCTTAGGTGTATGTGGCTGGCGCCTTAGCCACTTGAGCCACAGGCGCCGAGCCCAGACATAAAAATTGAAATGCATTCAGAGTTTAGTGTTGTGAGGGCAATATGTGCCTGTCATTTTGCTTGCATAAATCTTTTGTGTCTTCTCATAGTTTGGCATATACCTAGAAAATGCACACCATGAAAAACAGAATATTAAATTAGAACTCAAACTTAGAAGTTTTATAGTAAGTTTGCCAAGTTGTTCTTAACCTTTGTCTAATGTGTATTTACTTTGCACTTCTTAATTCAGTACTGACTACTTTAAACCTGACATCATGTTTTACTGCTTCACATTTATTATCAAATTTAATCCCCTGTTAAGTGATAGGTATTGGTATGATCAAATTTTAGAAACTGGAAGGTAAGAATAAGAGTTTATAAAAGATTCAAACCCAGGTATTTCTAGCTTCAAAGCTGGTAACTATTAGATATGATAAACCAATATGATTTATGTTTTAGAAAAAACAGTATTTGAAGAACCATAACGTGGAGAGTCTTAGAAAAACATTTAGGAATTTCCCTACCCTCACCCCAAACATTTGAAATTATACTCTGTGCCTGATACTTTTGTAAATCTTATATAGAGTGTCCATAATGTTAGTGTGCAGTTTTCTGTGTTAAACTATTTTAAATTGCACATGAACTTTATATCCAACAAGATATAAACAAGAAGATTTAATATATTATAGTTAACATTTGTTGAGTGTAAACTATATACTGTACATGCATTCTTTGCATTTGTTATAAAATACTTCAAAAATTTAATAACATTTAGAAATAATAAACCTCATGTATCACTACCAGGCTTTAACAATTTTTAACATTATTATTTTTCCTTTATTAAAATATTACCCACAGTTGAAAACCCCTGTGCATCTCTCTTAGACCCCATCCCTGTCTTAGAATCTTCCTACCATCTTCTCTTGCTACAAAAATGTATGTTATCCTGAGTTTGCTGTTCATATTTTCCACATGCATTATTTAATCTTCACAAAAACCTATGAGTTGAATTCTGTTATTATTTCTATATTTATACTTTACAGGTAAAGAAAATGAGATTTAAATTTCTTGGCTAAGGTCAATAGACACTTGGAATAAGAACTTAAACCTTCAGGCTGTCTCTAAAACTTAACCACTTTTCACTCTAACCACTTCTCTAACCACTTTTCTTTGCTATTCTAATTTTCATTCTCTGGTTTTAGCCCCCACTTCTTTCTCACCTGACCTTTTGGTAAGAGTCTATCTAATGGACATCACCATTCTGATGTCTAACAAAGCCCCTCAACATATCTAGGATACGGTTTATATTTCTCCTCATACTTGCTCCCCGGACTTGCCTCTTCCTCCTGTATTCTCCCATCTCATGGAGTGATCCCACTGCCTTTCTAGTTTCCAAACTTTCTCCTCTCCTTTAACCTCTGTATCTATCACTAAATCTTGTTGTTTCTACCTTTAACAAAAGTAGCTTACTGCTGTTTGCACTCCTCTATCCCTGTGTTGTATTTTCCCAGACTAGGCTGCCATTACCTCAGGTCTTATAGCAGCCTCCTAATCAGTCTCATGAGTCTGTTTTTTAAAATATTCTCTATTTTATTCTTATTATACCAGAATAATTTTTTAAATAACTTCATTTTTATTTTATTTATTTATTTTTCAGTTTTTGGCCAGGGGCTGGGTTTGAACCCATCACCTCTGGCATATGGGGCCAGCGTCCTACCCTTTTGAGCCACAGGCGCCGCCCAGAATAATTTTTTTAAATGTGGATTGATCCTGTTCCTGAGGTGTTAAAAATCCTTCACTGATTTACCACTGTGGCCTTAGGATGTAGTCTGAATTACAGGGTTTACAGGACCCTTCCCTAATTTGCCTGTATTTAGCTCTTGAGTCTCAGATCTGCTATTCCTCTGCCATTGTACTCTAGCAATATTAAACTTCTTTCAGATTCCATTTACTTCTTTAAAAGCCATGTATTTTCCTGCCTGTGGACCTTCAATCATGTTGTTTCTTCTGCTAGCAACACTCTCCCCTTTCTCTTATCTCTGCCATCTCATATCAACCTAATTTCTGTTTACAGTGAGTCTCAGCTTAAAGGTCACTTTCTCTGGGAAGCTTTTCTTGATCTCCACTTCTTTTTCTTCCTTCTCCCAACGTGAGATTAGGTGTTCCTGTTCTGGGATTTCATTATACAGTTGACCCTTGAACAACACAGGTTTGAACTACAAGGGCCACTTATAGGTGTTTTTTTTCCTCTAACCAATTGGGGCTGGAAAATAGAGTAGTCTCAGGATGTGAAACACGTGTGTTTGGAGGGCTAACTTTTCACATAAGTGGGATCCACTGGGCCAGCTGAAGGACTTGAGTATGTGTGGATTTTAGTACACTTAGGTGGGAGGGGTCCTGGGACCACTGTCCACTATACTTTTACATTCTTCATCATAGTATTCATAATTTATTATGATTGCTTTTGTAATCTTTATCTGTTTCCCTGATTTTTTCCCCATAGACTTTAAGCTCTGTAAGGGCATACTTGTCAGTGTTATATTTTTAGTATTTAAAATAAGGTCCATAATATAGTTGACACTCAATAAGTACTTGCTGAGAGACTGAATGAAAATGACTGTGAGATATTTAGATGAAAGTTTCTAGTTCATAATGTAAAATATATATATTCTATGTGAAGGACTCTCTTTGGATAATGAAAAGGTTTGTGATGAAGGGTTTTGAGTACCTTGGAAAGAATTCTATTTTTGTGTAAAATGAGGTTTATATACATCAGAGTTATGTTTATAGAGTTTATTTTGTATTTTGATCTGTGCTTTTATAAAATTAAGATGTTTTTAAATTAATTTTATAATATATCTTTTTATTTTGCAGTCTGATTCGCCATCTTATTCTCCTCAGCCTCAGCCTTTTCCACAGAACTCTTCCCAATCAGCTGCTATTACTCAGCCTCCATCTCAGCCAGGATCTCAGCCTAAGCTTGGTCCACCTCAACAGAGTGCCCAGCCCCCCCATCAAGTCCAGATGCCTATGTATAACTTTCCCCAGTCACCACCAGCTCAGTATTCTCCCATGCACAATATGGGATTGTTGTCAATGCACCCTCTTCAGATCCCTCCCCCATCCTGGCCTATCCATGGCCCAGTGATCCACTCTGCACCAGGCAGTGCCCCTAGCAATATTAACCTGAATGATCCCAGCATCATCTTTGCACAGCCTGCTGCCAGACCTGTGGCAATCCCTAGCTCTTCCCATGATGGACACTGGCCCCGTACTGTGGCTCCAAATTCCTTGGTGAACAACGGTGCAGTGGGAAATTCGGGTAACCTTCCTTTTCTTTTTTATCTGTCTATAGAAAGATTGGGTGATTGGTATTGCTGGTTCAATCTGGGAAATAATGGTAGGCAAACAGTACTTGTGAAGGGGCAGTATCAGATTAGATGAAGACTGAGAGTATAGCTCTGGATTCACGCTGCCTGGATTTGAATTCTGGCTTTGCCACTTAATTGTGGCCATGGATAATGATTTAATCTCTTTGTGCATCAGTTTCATCTGTAAAATATGGTTATTAATAACATCTAATCTATAGGGATGTTATAAATATAAAATGAAATAAGGCATATAAATATTAGCTATTACTGTTTGTAATTTTCACTACAGCTCTACTTGGTGTAAGTATTATTAGTATTTTTTTTTTAAATTTGAGACACGGTTTCACTCTGTCTCCTGGGCTAACAGTGCAATGGCATCATCATAGCGCTCTGCAACCTCAAACTCCTGGGCTCAACTGATTGTTTTGGCTCAGTCTCCTGAGTAGCTGGGTCTATAGGCATATGCCATCATACCCAGCTAATATTTCTATTTTTTTGTAGAGACAGGAGGTCTTACTCTTATTCAAGCTTGCCTTGAACTCTGGAGCTCAAGCAGTCCACCTACTTGGCCTTCCAGAGTGCTAGGATTACAGGCATGAGCCAGCTTGCCTGGCCAGCACTCATTTTATAGTTGATGCAGTTGAAGGGCTAAGTAACTTAATTGTCATGCTGTCATCATTTATAATGGTATAGCCAAATTCTAAACTAACTTCTTTCTTTAAAACCTGTCTGCTGTGTGCTCTAGAATCTACTGTCTCTCAATAAGAAGTAAATCTTTAAAAAAGAAAAAGTTATTAATAGCATTAAAATATAATAGTTTTTCCTGATATGTCAGTAATACATAATTCATGATAGAACATTTGAAAAATAGTCATCTGTCATCTCACTTCGTAGACAGAACGACTATTTTGTTATATTACCATCCGTTTTCTTATATTTGCCTATTTAAAAATAGTTGGTATATTCCATAAATCTAGTTTTATATCCAGCTTTTTATTAAAAAATTTCTTTTATTTACTGCTAATCAGAAGGGAAAACATTTATTTATTTACTGCTTTAGAGACAGGATTTTACCTTGTTGCCCAGGCTGGAGTCCGGTGGCTATTAATAGGTGTGACATACACAGTAGTGTTTGCCCTCAACCTCTGGCCTCAAGTGATCCTCCGACTTCAGAGTTCTGAATAGCCGGGACAAGGTGCATCTCAACTCAGCTGGTTGATATCCATCCTTTTGACATTTATTTTTATTTAAAAAATTCTTATTAATAAGTTTTGAAATACATACAAAAGGAAAAAAATAAAGTATAATGAATTCCTTCTGTTCCCTCCCAGCTGTACTAAATTTCAAGTTATCAATAATTTGCTATTTTTTAATTCTTTTATCTGACCCCTTCCTACCATTTAAAAAAACTCTGGGTTTAAGTATTAGTCAGATGCCAGATATTGTATCAGATTTGCTTGTTAATCTCAGTTTTATCACTCTGAAAAAAGTCAGAAGACCATTACTACACCCAGTATAATCAAATACCAAGTCTTTGTTCATTTTTTCTTGTTTGTCTAAAATCAAGTGTTACTATGTCGCCCTCTGTAGAGGGCTTTAGAATCACAGCTCACAGCAACCTCAAACTCTTGGCTCAAGTGATTCTCTTGCCTCAGTCTCCCAAGTAGCTGGGACTGTAAGCACCCACCACAATGCCCAACTATTTTTTTGTTGCAGTTGTCATTGTTTAGCAGGTCCGGGGTGGGTTCAAACCCACCAGCCTTGGTGTATGTGGCTGGCGCCCTACTGAGCTATGGGCGCTGCCACTATCAAAGTATTCTTACTGTTGATTTATTTGAATGAAATTTCAAATAAACCTGGGCATGGTGGCATATGCCTGTTATCCTAGCTACTTGGGAGGCTCAAGTGGGAGGTTTTCTTGAACCCCGGAGTTGAAGAACAGCCTCAGCAACATATTGTCTGTGTCTCAGAAAACAAAAAAGATTCATGCATTGAGCTATGATGATGTCAACAGAGTGAGACCCTGTCTCAAAAAAAGAAAAAGGTGGTGCTTGTGGCTCAGTGAGTAGGGCGCTGGCCCAATATACCAAGAGAAGCAGGTTTGAACCCGGCCCCAGCCAAACTGCAACAAAAAAAGTAGCTAAGGCATTGTGGCAGGTGCCTGTAGTCCCAGCTACTTGGGAGGCTGAGGCAAGAGAATCGCCTAAGCCCAAGAGCTGGAGGTTGCTGTGAGCTGTGATGCTACAGCACTCTACCAAGGGCGACAAAGTAAAACCCTGTCACTTAAAAAAAAAAGAACCATGTATCTATGTGGTTTTTATATCTTTCAAGTGTCCTTTAGTTTTTAACAGTTCCTTCTTACTGTTTTTTCTATATGAACTATTTATTGAAAAAACTGTAGAATTTCCCACATTCTGGGGTTTTCAGATTGTTATCTTTGTGACATTGTTTAACATGACCTCTGTCCCTTTATTTTCTGTAAACTGGTATTTAGATTCAGAGGCTGGATTAGATTCAGATTCTTCTTATTGGCAAGAATACTTCGTGGCTCATGATTATAATCCTAGCACTCTAGGAGGCCAGGGTGGGTAGATTGCTTGAGCTCAGGAGTTTGACACCCTGTCTCTAAAAATAGGCAGGTGTTGTGGTGGATGCCTATAGTTCCACCTGTAGTTCTACTCGGGAAGCTGAGGCAAGGGAATCACTTGAGTCCAAGAGTTTGAGGTTGTTGTGAGCTATGATGCCAGTTCACTCTGTTGAGGGTAAGTTAGACTGTTTAGGAAAAATAAATATAGAATACATTGTGGTTTGTCTTGTATATTTCCTGTTCTCTCCAGAAGGAACTTACTGTTAACATTTTAGTAACTTAAGATTGATTTCTGACTTAGGTATCATCAGTTTGTTCTATCAAGAAGTTTATCATTAATTTCTACTTAATGATCTTAGCTGCTATTGATAATTGTTGCTGATATCCATTATTTCACTATGGATTATAAAATAATTTTCTATTGATTCTTTTTCTTTTTTGGAGACAAGAGTCTCAAGTTGTTGCCCTGGGTAGAGTGCCATTGCGTCACAGCTCACAGCAACCTCCAACTCCTGGGCTTAAGCAATTCTCTTGCCTCAGCCTCCCAAGTAGCTAGGACTATAGGCACCTGCCACAATGCCCAGCTATTTTTTGGTTGGAGTTGTCATTGTTGTTTGGCAGGCCCAGGCTGGATTCGAACCTATCAACTCTGGTGTATGTGGCTGGCACCCTAGCCACTTGAACTACAGGTGCCGAGCCTTTCTATTGAGTCTTTTGTAAAGAAGAACTGTTTCTTATTAACTGTTTGGTTACCCTGCAATATAATTTGTATAGGAAATGTAGACTGATAGCTTGAGTCTTTCCCTTTATTCATTTTCAAATGAAATTTAATGGGGATAGCACCTGCGGCTCAGTGAGTAGGGCACCGGCCCCATATGCCGAGGGTGGCGGGTTCAAGCCCTGCCCTGGCCAAGCTGCAACAAAAATAGCTGGGCGTTGTGGCAGACGCCTGTAGTCCCAGCTATTTGGGAGGCTCAGGCAAGAGAATTGCTTAAACCCAAGAGGTGGAGGTTGCTGTGAGCTATGAGACACCATGGCACTCTACTGAGGGCTATAAACTGTCTCTACAAAAAAAAAAGAAAGAAATTGAGTGGTAATTTTAAACAAAACTGTGCTATCCCTTAAAACACTATTATGGAGAAGATGTCTCCCAACGTTTTTAGGAGCTAGTAGAGATGGGGTCTCATTCTTGCATAGGTTGGTCTCGAGCTCCTGAGCTCAAGCAATCTACCTGCCTCAGCCTCCCAGAGTCCTGGAAGTACAGGTGTGAGCCACTGCACCTGGCCTGGTTACTGTGCTTTGAAAAATGTACTTGAAAGGTAGATCATAGGGCAGCACCTGTGGCTCAAAGAAATAAGGTGCCGGCCCCATATGCCAGAGGTGGCGGGTTCAAACCCAGTCCTGGCCAAAAACTGCAAAAAAAAAAAAAGTACATCTTAAAGGGAAATCGATTTTGGGGGTGGTGAGCCATAGGAAGAACAGGACTCACATTTTTCGAGATCTTGTATAACCTACTTTTTATTTATTTAGTTTTATTTGGGAGAGAGTCTTACTTTGTATTCCTGGGTTGAATGCCATGGCATCATAGCTCTCAGCAGTCTCAAACTCTTGGACTAAGTTACTGTCTTGCTTCAGCCTCCCGAGTAGCTGGGACTATAGGCACTTGCTATAACGCCTGGCTGTTTATTTAGAGATGGGGTCTCATTCTTGCTCAGGCTGGTCTCAAACCCGTAAGCCCAGGCAATCTACCCACCCTGGCCTCCTCTAGTGCTAGGATTATAGGTCTGAGCCACCCACGCATAGTCAGGCTACTTTTTTTTTTTGTTTTCTGATGTAATCTTCATAATCCCCTGAAGTTCGGAATGGAACCTAATAATTTAAGGAACTGGGATTTACTACAAAGCACAGCTTTTCAATGCCTCAGACTTCTAATAGAATCTCCTTACAGCAAAGATATAATTGATTCTGATATATTGATTGTCAACTATCCTAGATTCAATTGTATCTTTGCCTGTAAGGAGGATAAAATATAAGTTTCTTTGCAGCAAGTACTAAGGTTCTTTGAAATGTATAGCCCCACCTACCTGTCCAGACTTTTACTACTACTTCTACTTACTCCTCTCTATATTGCTGATTGTTTTATAGCTCCCCAAATTTCTGCTTTCCTGCTTCCAGGCTTTCATACGTGATATTCCCTCTTTCTGAAATGCCTTCCCTATTTTAATTGACCTTTTTTTTTTTTTCTCTAATGCTAAGCTCAGTCATCTTAGGAAAACCATTTAAACTTCAAAGACTGGGTTACCTTCTCTTTAGCAGAGTTTTTGCTTATAGCAATCATTACATATTATTGTATGTATTATCTTATATGCCTCTCTGTTATCAATAATTTGAGCAATAATAATTTTTCATTCTTTAAAAAAAATTTGGGGGGCAGCGCTTGTGGCTCAGTGGGTTGGGTGCTGGCCCTATATACTGAGGGTGGCAGGTTCTGGCCCCAGCCAAACTGCAACAAAAAAATAGACGGGTGTTGTGGCAGGCGCCTGTAGTCCCAGCTACTCAGGAGGCTGAGGCAAGAAAATTGCCTAAGCCCAGGAGTTGGAGGTTGCTGTGAGCTGTGACGCTATGGCACTCTACTGAGGGTGATAAAGTGAGACTCTTGTCTTTACAAGGAAAAAGAAATTTTTTTGCATCCTCTGCATTTATCAGAGTCTTTGGCCAGTGGTAGATACTCACTACATCTTTGTGAAATGTCAGAATATTATCATGAGCAAACTAATGTTTTAAAATGTGTTGTTTTCTTTCTTGTTGTAATGCAGAGCCAGGCTTTCGAGGACTAAATCCTCCAATTCCTTGGGAACATGCACCACGCCCCCCTTTCCCCCTTGTCCCAGCTTCGTGGCCTTATGGTTTGCCTCAGAACTTCGTGCATCAGGGAAATGCCCGATTTCAGCCCAACAAACCTTTCTATACTCAAGGTACCATTGCTTACAGATGAGTTAACAGGCTGGGTGGGTTTTATTCTGGGACAGGGAGCTTCAATGAAGGCCATATTATAGGACTGAAAATTCTTGTATTCCGTAGACATTTATTGACAGAGCATACAGTGTGTCCGACTGTGCCAGGTGTTTGTTGCTCAAGCAAGAGTAAAGAGAATCTCCATACTTTTCATACAAGTCAAACACATAAGATAGACAAGTATAGGAGCTTAGATGAATCACTTAATGTTGCCCTAGCAGAGGGGGTAGTATTTCCATACAAGAGAGTATATCATACAAGATTTTGACAACTGAACTAGATCTTGAAAGAGATACAGGAGATTCTGTAGATACTAGAGAGGGGTGGTATTCTTGGCTGAGAGATTTTCCCTGGCATAATGAGGAAGAAGAGAAAATAACAGGACTAGAGCATGGAGGTATACGGGAGAGATGTGTAGGTAATAAAGCTAGAGAGGCTAAGCTGAGTTCGTATTATGAAGGAGTCTGGATGTGGTTTAGTAAGCAGTGAGGACCTAGTAAAAGTTTGTAAGTTTCATAGAGACATGGTCAGATTTATTTACCAGAAGTAGGACTTGAATGACATTCAGATTTACTCTGCTGGTGCTGTAGTAGTACCAATAATGGCTTTGATGTGGATAATGAATATCACAAACTAAGAATTCCCAGTAACTTGGAGCATTTTATCTAACCTACTTGTCTCAAAGGTATCTGTTCTAACAATTAAATCTGAGTCTGACCTTTATCTCTTCGTTAATCTAGAAGTTAAGAATCCTGGAAGCAGAGTCATTATAGTTAAACTAGGAGTTTAAGACATTAAAGGCAGGCCTTCAGGAAATGGTGACTGAATGAAATGATAACTTTAAGGGAAGCCCCCTGGTAGTTCTCAAGGCTTGATACATTTAAGCCTTCCTAGACTACTCACATACTGTTGGGGCATCCTTGTATTACCAGAGTGGCAGAAGCTTGGCTACTGGGTTTTGCTAAGCAAAGAACTAGAGTGAGGATGTTCCCATCAATCATACAAGCACTTTTAGGAGGGGAAGAGTCTGAAATTCTTCCCCAGTAGGTTTTTTCTTCTTGATTCTTCCTCTCCATCTCTCATTTGTCTCCTTACCTTTCTTTTGTGTATACCCACAGTTCCTTCCCTCCTCCCTCATTTTCCTCACCCCTTTAAATGTTTTGACATGTGTCTTCTCCTAATATATAAATAGTAAAAAAGAGAACTAGCTGCAAATTAATTGTAAGGGGTTGTCAGATAAATAGGCACAAGCCTTTCAGTTTTCCTGTCTGTGTTGTATCCAACAGACAGATGTGCCGCCCGTCGGTGTAGAGAGCGTTGTCCCCACCCACCAAGAGGAAACGTGTCGGAGTAATGCCAGTCCATTTTCTTTCAGCTGGTCTACCGATGCACAGCAACCAGCCAATCCTGCTGTCTCAAGGGTATCCGTACCTCAATGTCAGTTACATTCAGCAGAAAAAGTGACATTTAATGGAAAGCAAAACAAATCAGGTCCTGATTTAAAATTTTAACATGTTTAGATAGCTTATTTAAATTACAAGACTGTTTTTAAAGACTGTATTATTTGTATATAAATATGAACTATAGTTTTTACTAGTATCACCAAATTGAGTGATACAAATTTCATCTATTTTATTACCCTATTTTTAAGGGAATTTTATGTTTTGTTTAACCTTGATGAATTGTATAAAGAGAGAATTTAAAAAATTACATTCTTTATTTTCTATTAGCTGTATTCATACTTTGGTTGCTTCAGACTTTATATATTGTTCTTAAGAATTAGGAAAGAATTTCATGTGTTTTAAATTTGTCACTTCTATTCTTTACAGAACCTTGTAGTGCCAAAAACTTTTTAAAAGGTAAAAAAAATAAAATGAAATAAAATTACAACATGAAGATTCAGAATTTTTCTCTTTTACACACTCTTGTATATTGAACATACTCAAACTTGAAGAGAAAATTGCTTTCGGTTGTATTTGAAGTAGTTCTATTTTAAGTTAATAAATCTTTTTAACAAGAGTCCAATTGGTTAATTCTTCTTCTTGTTTAGATGATGATGTAACAATTCAGAGATTTGTTTTACTTCAGTGAATAGAGTCTTACAAATCACAGGCTTAGTTTTAGAAATTCAAGGATCTTTTTTATGTTCTTTATTTTACTGGATCTTTACAACACCACGGAAGTTGAGAAAAGCAGAGGCCATTTCCATTTTATCTGCATTGAAAATAAAAACTAGGGTAGTGCATGTGGCTCAGTGAGTAGGGCACTGGTACCATATACCGAGGGTGGCAGGTTGAAACCCGGCCCCAGCCAAACTGCAACAAAAAATAGCCAGGTGTTCTGGCAGGTGCCTGTAGTCCCAGCTACTTGGGAGGCTGAGGCAAGAGAATCACCTAAGCCCAAGAGCCGGAGGTTGCTGTGAGCTGTGACGCCACAGTACTCTACCAAGGGCAATGAAGTGAGACTGTCTCTAAAAAGAAAACAACTTGGAACAACAGAGAATGCCTCAGCCCCGCATTCCTTCCTGAAGGCAGTATATACCACTTGGCAAATGCTATTCATGGATTACCTAGCAACCAATAACCATTAATTTTCAGGATCTCATTTTTCCCTCCTTCAGTAACTGCCAGTGTTCAATAACTGACAAAATGCAAATAATCTTGTTTATAATTTATACAGTAGCTCAGCTTTGTGAATTTGGAAAGCTATTAATTCATAATCATTGTAGAGCAGTTATAAAATACAAAAATCTTATGCAGAGAGCACACTCTTACGATCATATTTTATAATGTTTTGTATAATGTTTAATGACACAGAGATTAATATTATCCCTTGCCACTGGAATTATTAAAAAACATGGGTACTGATACATTATAACTTTGTTCAGTCCCCTATAGATAGACATTATAGCTGTTTCCAGTTTTTCTTATATTTATAAAATATATTAAATGAGAAGGTAAAGCTCTCTGTGTGTATATTTAATCATTCTCTTAGGGTTAATTCCCATAAATGGGATTATTGGATAGAAAAATAAAGTTCTAAGATTCTCACTACATATTGTCAAACTGCCCTTTAGAAAAGTGATTACCAATTTACAGTTCCAACAATATATGAAATCTGTTGGTATACTTATAAAAAAGCAGTAAACTTCAGCAACTTTTTTTCTTGCAAAAAATAATTTAATGTATACAAAAGAAAATATGCGTTACATAAAAGTACAAAGAACAAATCACTTAAAAGTTCATCAGCCAGAAATAAGTACTGTTGTTATTTGGTGAACTTCGTTCATTCCACCCATCTCTCTTAATGATATAGACATTTATACAAATAGTTTTTACAAAAGTGGGTTCAAATGCCGTATTTAATAAATATAGCAAATTAATTTTACTTGTGTTTAACAGAAGGAAAACAAATTGAACAAATGCTCAACTTAAATATTTTTCCCACAAGAAAATCTGCTTCCGAAAGTTTGTTTCTAAAATTAAGGAAAACATGAGGCTGGTTTTCTAGTGTCATGTATTCTTTTGTTTTGTTTGAGACAGTCTCACTTTGTTGTCCCCCAGTAGAGTGCTCTGGTGTCATAGCTCACAGCAACCTCTAACTCTTGGGCTCAAGCAATTCTCTTTGCCTCAGCCTTCAGAGTAGCTGGGACTACAGACAACCCACCACAATGCCTGGCTGTTTTTAGAGATGGGGTCTCACTTTTGTTCAGGCTGGTCTTGAACTCGTGAGCTCAGGCAATCCACCCACCTCAGCCTCCCAGAATGCTGGGATTACAGGCATGAGCCACTGCACCCAGCCCACATGTATGTTTTAATTAGACTGTGAGCCCTGCTATGAAAGATGAAACCATCATAGTTAAGAATCTCTCTATTTCTGGTTGTTTCTTTAGTGTTCATAATACTTAATTTGAACTTCATAATTATTTCCCATTATTATTATTTTTTTATTTTGAGACAGAGCCTCAAGCTGTTGCCCTAGGTAGAGTACTGTGGCATCACAGCTCACAGCAACCTCCAACTCCTGGGCTCAAGCAAGTCTCCTGCCTCTGCCTCCCAAGTAGCTGGGACCACAGGCACCCGCCACAACACCCGGCTATTTTTTGGTTGCAGCCGTCATTGTTGTTTTACGGGCCCAGGCTGGATTCCAGCCCGCCAGCTCAGGTGTATGTGGCTGGCACCTTAGCCACTTGAGCCACAGGCGCCGAGCCCCATTATTTTTTATTTAAAGTTTCAGAAGGGTATACTACCATACTGCTTTTTTTGTTCCTAAATCCTTATTTTGATTCATTTTTTGTCTTTGGCTGAATTTCATTATTGGGTAGTCTTTCCCAAAGGCTCATGCCAGTATATTTTTGATTTCTTACATACTTGAGAATGTGTAGTCCCTTTATATTTCAAGACAACTTTGGCAGAGTACAAAATTCTTGACACTTTTTCTCAAACCTTTGGAGCCTTTTGCTTCATTGCCTTCTGAAGTTTCTTCCCATTGTAAATGCCTTCTGGGCTTGACACCTCATTTAATTCTTTTATCTTTTCAATTCATCAGGATTTTTTTTCTTTTTCTGAGAGGAGTCTCACTTTGTTGCCTTCAGTAGAGTGCTATGGCATCATAGCTCACAGTAACCTCAAACCCTTGAGCTCAAATGATTCTCTTGCCTCAGCCTCCTGAGTAGCTGGGACTACAGGTGCCAGCCACAACACCCAGCTAATTTTAGAGATAGGGTCTTGCTCTTGCTCAGGTTTGTCTCCAACCTGTGAACACAGACAATCCACCTGCCTAGGCCTCTCAGAGTGCAAGGATTACAGCATGAGCTGCTATGCCTGGCTGTTATTTCTTGATGGATTGATTTCCTTATATTTTCTCTATAGTTATTCCTACTCTTTTCCATCCTTTTTTTTTCCAGTTTATTTTATACTTTGTGTTTTCTAGTAAGACCTTTAAGCTCCACCAATCTTACTTACCATCTCTTAAGCTTTTCTTTGAATCTCTATACTTTGAGATAGGGTCTCTCTTTGGGCTAGAGTGCAGTAGTATCACCATAGCTCACTGCAACCTCAAACTCTCGGGCTCAAATGATACTTCTGCCTTGCCCTCTCAAAGATAGCAGGTGTAGGCACCGCACCTAGCCACACAGTTTTTTTGGTTTGTTTAAGCAGATCGTGTTATATCATTTTTTAGTCTCTGGAGAATCTGTCACTAACCTTTTGGGGAAAGTGGGAAGCATCTGTGATCATTCTTTTCTGATTTAATGCATATCTAAATTTAGGTCAAACTACTGAAGAATAACAGGAAATTAAGAGGAATGAGCTTTAAGTTGGGTGGTTATATTGGAACTCTTTTGCCAAATCCATTATTTCCTTTGCCCATGGGAACACATTTCCTTTCATTTCTTAGTATTGAGAGGTCATTGTGCTTCTTGGCAAAGCTTCTCAGACACTATATTTCAAATTGTGGGAAACAAAATAAGTTTAGTGGTTTGCACTAGTATTAAAAAGTGGTATCAATTAGGAAATATTCATTTTGCAGAAGGAACAAGAATTTTCTTGAAATTTCAGTATAGAATATACATATGCATGTACAGACTTGACATTTTTAAAATGTAGGCTATAGGCTCGGCTCAAGTGGCTAAGGCGCCAGCCATGCCACATACACCTGAGCTGGCAGGTTCAAATCCAGCCTGGGCCCACCAAAAACGATGGCTGCAATAAAAAAATAGCCAGTCATTGTGGCGGGTGCCTGTACTCCCAACTGCTTGGGAGATGGAGGCAGAATGGTTTGAGCCCAGGAGTTGGAGGTTGCTGTGAGCTGTGATGCCATGGCATTCTATCCAGGGCAATAGCTTGAGGCTCTGCCTCCAAAAAAAATAAATAAATAAAATGTAGGCTGTAATTGCTTATCAGCCTTATGGCTACGATCAAGTGTAAAATGTAGCCTGCAGTCAAAAAGTTTTGAAATTACCATTTCAAAGTCTCATTCCTAGGCTAGCACATAGATGACAGAAATGGCCTTACAATAAAGTTTTTCCTTAAGCTTGGCCTCTGCAGTGCTGCCTTATCAGGATCGTATCTGGAGGCCAGGTGTGGTGACTCCTGCCTGTAATCCTAGCATGGATGGACTGCCTGAACTTGGACGTTGGAGACCAGCCATAGCAAGAGCCAGAGTCTGTCTCTATAGCTGGGCATTGTGGCAGGTGCCTATGGTCCTACCTACTCCAGAGACTGAGGCAATAGGATTGCTTGAGCCCAAGAGTTTGAGGTTGCTGTGAGCTATAATGCCACAGCACTGTAGCTAGGGTGATGAAGTGAGACTTAAAAAATAAAAGAAATAAAACCTTTAACCAAAAAAAGATCGTATCTAGAGATTCATGTCCTTCTAATTTTGTTCTAATTAAAGAACAAAGATAATCTACTTCTTGCTGTGGGTTGGCTATGATGTTCAGATTTTGGTCTGTAGTTTACCATGTCTTAACCATGCTTCAGCATTAGGGGATGTTTATTGGGGTTTGTGTATATAGGGAGTTTGTTTATATTTTAAAATATATTTTTAAATGCAAGTTTTAACAATAAACGGGATGACGACTTACTTGGTCCATGCATTGCTTAATCATAAGACATTTCTTCTCACTCAGGTCACTCTATAGAGATGTAAGACTGCTTTATGTATGTATATGTGTGTTCATTTTTTTAATTTTGGAGACAGGGTCAGACTGGTCTTCAAACTCCTGGTCTTTCATGCTCCTTCTGGCCCCCCACACTGCTAGAATTAACAGGTGTGATCCACTGTGTTTAGCCAAGATGCTTATACTTAATTTTAGTCTAATATATAGTCGTATTACAAACTAAAGACAGCTTTAACTCAGGTATAATCATGAAAGGAATCATTGAAGAATATGC